GAGTCAACCTTCTTTTTCTCAAAATAAGCACATCAGGTTGCACTCACCTGAGAAAAAAATGTCAAAATTTGATCATTTGTGAAGGAATTAATACACACACTTATTAAACCATTCTTTTATGGTCTCATCTCCCTTTCTATTTACACGTTACAAAGTGAGCAACTTCACAGGAAATAGTCACTATCTGAGCTAATCAATCATCATATTTAATATAAAATTTAAAATAGACTATCTTATGGAGTTGCCTAAATTTCATGGCAAAAATTTCATGGCCAACACATGAGAGAGAAAATTTAAAAATATGGTCAGTGTTTAAAATTTCAAAAAAAAAATTTATTACACTAAAGAATCAAAGAATCATTGCTGTTAACCCTCCTCAGAATCTCCTCACTGTGAATGCACTGAGCCCATCCGTTTTTATCATCATCATTGAAACATTTCTGGAAGTGCTCTTTCGTGAGTGTCTTTCCTTGTAGTGTCCTGGTTGCCTTGATGTCCTGAATCATCTCAAAGCACTTGCCTTTCGATGCTGTGGGATTTCTGTGCAGAGAGACAGGACACCAAGGCTTTTTCCCTGGAGGCAGTTTTATGGGAGCCTTGCTGACTCAGCAGATTCATGTCCGAAAGCTGAGCGCCCAGCATGGTGTAGTTGCACCATTTTGGACCATTTTTGTGTCTTCTCCCCTTACATAGACATACATGAACAGTTCAGTCCGATGGGGTGCACATTAACATTGGACCGTCTGACTGGGTAAGATTTATGTTACAGAGTTACAACAAAACTATACTGCATACAGAGAGGCTGATGACACTATGTTGTGAGAATTCTCTCCTCTCATTCCGTCCACTGCACCACAGGTCAGGAGGGCCCCTAAGCACAAGGTCATTTGATTCCTGAGAAGAGCCAGGAGTCACACAGTGTCAGGTTCAGGGAACAAGGTGATCGAGGACACACTGCAAAGCTTTCCTGAGGCCACCTTTCCAGTAGTGACACCGGGCAGCAGCATTCGCTGTGTTTGGGTCAAATCCAATGGAGAAGTCAATGCAAGGGTGCTTCTAGAACCCTGAAGAAGCTGGCAAGGACGATGGGGTAAGAGAGGGAGAGCACCGTGAGGGGGATTAACGGCCATGTGTCTTGTACTGTACTGTATCTCTAAACGGACCTGTTTGGTGTGCATGTTGGCCTCTCTGTGTATGGGAGGACCATCACGGGCATGGCCTTGCATGTGTAGACGCTGCCTTCATCTATTGGGTTTCGTGGCGCAGCTTTCATCCCTAAGATGCACTTTCCATCCCACTCAGCCAATGTTTCCCTAGGACACAGCCTCAGTCTCCCCAGGGGTCTGACAGGGTCTGCACGTCCATGCCCCTTGTCAGGTGTCCCATGCCTCAGTGTCCCAGGTGCACTGAGGCATCCTGTGTCACAGCTCCACCAGCACTGTGGGTGCTGTGAGCTCGGTACTTGCTGATGTTCCGTGCTGTGTCCCTGTCTGCGCAATGGACGCAGTAGCAGTGGTTCTGTCACTGTGTGATCTGTGACACGGGTAAGCTTGGGAGAGCACCTGAGCCTAAAGGGCACCGTGGCACTCACTTTGGTGGCTGCTGCTATTAAACCCCAGCCTTGCAAACCATCACGCTGGTCTCCTGCCCTCCTTCGCTTTTGACTACTGATCCTGATTCTCTGCGCATCATAGTAGTTTTCGGGCTCCCACACAAGTCTTGGATTTCCCTGCTTCTCACTCTTTTGCCCTTCTGGGAACAAGTGCCCCCCAATCAACTCCCCTGGCCTAAATCTTACCAACCCCCAAACCTACTATGAAATGCCACCTCCTTTGGAAGAGAGTTGTGCTCTTCTGAATCACACCCACTCCCCACGCAGCAATGTGTTGTCCCTCCCGTCCACGGCACGTCACATCAGCGTGGGCCTTTACCACACTTGTTATCGCTCTGCATTGTGTGTGTGTAGGCTTGGGGGTGACCTGGTGTGTGTCACACAGAGTCCTCATTATCTGTGCATTCTCCAAGGCCACACCTGGGGAAGGTCATAAGGGGTGCCCGGGAATGAAAATAAACACAAGTATGATAAAGAAAGGCAGCCATTGGGATTCTTTTTGAATTTTATTAATAAACTTTAAGATATTGTCTAGAGAAACTCTGGCTACAGAAGGAGCATTTCCTATGCAATTCACACGGATGAAGTAACACATAGATAAAAAAAAAGGGGGTTTAAACAGAAACCACAGTGGAAACCATCACTTGAACTTACCAACCTGGTAATCATGTTGCCCTTCATCCTGGTCCTTGCATAGCGTGCAGGAGGAGGTCACCACCTGAGAACAGGAAACGTTAAACATGGTGTGTCCAGTCAGGGGAGAAGCCGTCACAGAGTCCAGATGCCTTCGTCAGAGCAGGACAGAGTGGACGGGGCAGAGCCCATGCCTGCATTGGAGCCTCTGACCCCGCAGCTTTGCAGACAGCAGACACAGTCTCCCCACGGCAACAGCACCTGTGCAGTGGCCAGGCTGGCAGCACCTAGCAGCAGCACTGCTTCTTGCAGCAGCACTTTTGCTGACAGCAGCACTTCTGCTGGCAGCAGCCCTTCCCACAGCCACAGCCACAGGAGCCACAGCCACAGGAGCCGCAGCCACAGGAGCCACAGCAGGTGCGGTGGCAGCAGATGACCACGGGTTTGCAGCAGCAGCAGCCACAGCAACTGCCACAGCCACTGCATCCACAACAACTACCACAGCCACCACAGCTGCCACAGCCACCACAGCTACCACAGCCACCACAGCTGCCACAGCTGCCACAGCCACCACAGCCGCCACAGCCGCCACAGCCACAACCTCCACAGCCACAGCAACCCATGGTATCGATAGAGAAGATGCAGGTGAGGGAGGAGAGAGGATTCAGGAGAGGAGAGGAGTCTGATGATGCCACTCCTGAAGTAGCCCTAATATACCTGCTCCCCATCACCCAATCCTGGAAGCAGCCCGTTCCTTGTGGCTGTTTCCTCTGATTCCATCAGAGCCTCACAAGGCCCCTCATGTCCTTCCTTGTTGACAGCGTGATCCTCTGTTATTGCTGCCTTTAACCTTGATTCCTCCCTTAAAACTGGACTTAGAATAGACAGGCTTCTAACAGCCATGTGTACCCATGTTTCTATGTTTCCTGGCTCTGGAGCTTACATGAGAGCCTGGCACATCGTAAGGATCAAGTGTGACTTAGGAATTACACAAGTGACTCAGATATTCAAGAATAACCCTCTGGAAATACATGTGAGGAGTAACCCACACCAGGCAAAAGCCCTCACAGTCTCTGTAGGTCAGGAAAAGCACTTTTTTCTCTCTGCAGAGATTCCTTTCTGATCCCCAAATTAGCAAAACCTCCCCAAAGAACAAGTGGAAAGGGGCTGGGAATTTAGCTCAGCAGCATAAGTACGTGCGTGATAAGCGCGAGGTTGTGTGTTCAATACCTGGTACAAAAAAAAAAGGTGGAAAACCAGAATCAAAAGGAACAGTGTGGACCCTGTATGTGTTACACCAGGTATTACATCTTTTTCTAGCTCTCTGGAATTCTTTCTTTCACCAGAACAACTCATTGATCATTTAAAGTCACGATAAAATAATTGGATGATGTTAGATGCTAAAAGTATAATTTTATGCCAACTCCTAAATCATGTGCTGGAGTGATGTTGCTGTTTGTTGTTTATCTGCCAAAGAACTGGGAAAACAGAGGAAGGAGACTCCCATCCTGGGGTTCCAGCCTCCTGCCAGGGACTCTTCGGCTTCCTGTAGCTGGGCCCAAGCTCTCAGCACAGCCACCCACCGTGGACTCGTGAGCTGAAATCTCCCGGGCTCTAGTTCTCGAGCTCCGTGTCCAGCCCCGCCAGGCTGTGTGTGAGACTGAGTCCAGCGGGTAAAGTTCTTACTTGATGATCTCAGAATACAAGGCTGCCTGGGTCACATAGGACCTAAAACAGTCCCAGAACATGCCGATGTATTTCAAGTGGTCAGAGGTGAACTGACTTCATGGGGTGATATTCTTTCTGTCTTCACTATTTTTCTCTTGACTTTGACAAAATATTCAATGCCCAAAATTAAGGCAGGAAAGATTTATTTCCTTTTTTTAAAGGAAAGTTTTATTTAGCTCACAGTTTGCATAGGATTCAGTCCATAATCACCTGGCGGGGACACAGGGTGGCATGGCAGAGAGGCAACAGTTCATGGTGGTTTAAGATAACAAAAGCAACAATAACAAAAAAGGACAGATCAGCCTCTTTTCCTCCCTTATTTTGTAAGCAGGCTACCTGCCCTAGGGCAGGTGTAGCACTTGCACCATCTCAGTGCGTCCTGCTTGCACAGACTGAGGATGTTTACAAAGTGAGGACCCTTGTTCCTGCTGAATTGCTCAGTAAGCTTGCAAGCTTCTCAAATTGACACAATGAATTTGGTCATCACAGCAGGCTAGAGTGTAAACAGCTGCCGTAGGGCATGTCCATTGCATCTTAGGATGTAGAGCTGTTGAGTCACTTAATGAAGCTTCTAAACTTCTCAAGTAACACAGTGTATCAATCATTATACTCCCAAGGCAAATGCCCCATTTTTGCAGTTAGTGTCTCTTTGATAAGCTCACTTGTTAAAACCAGGAGGTTGAAAAGTGTCTTCTTGCATAGCATTCTGCTTACTCAGCACCCTGAGAAGTTCAACTTTTTGGGGGGCCCTCCAGCCTCATCCACCACAACTGATGTGTGACACTGGGCCACATTCAGGCCCTAAAGCTGTGCTTTCCTTAGCCATCATTTGTCCACCTCTGAATTAAAGATGCACCACGTTATTTCATTCATAAGTGGAAACTCAAGGGCTTTCTAATAGATTGAAGTGCTAGACACTGTGATGTTATGCCAAGGTCCTTGAGAAGGAAGTAAACAAAAGGTCTTGATGGGGAGCAGTATATAAGGTCGACCTCCAGCAGGAGGTGGCATCAAACTCCTTCTCTCCTGAGTCCTCTCTCCTCACCTCACCTGCATCCTCTCTACCAACACTATGGGTTGCTGTGGCTGTGGTGGCTGTGGTAGCTGTGGTGGCTGCGGTGGCTGCGGTGGCTGTGGCAGCTGTGGCAGCTGTGGTGGCTGCGGTGGCTGCAACAGCTGCACCACCTGCAGATGCTACCGGGTGGGCTGCTGCTCTGGCTGCTGCCCCTGCTGCGCTGGCTGCTGTGGGGGCTGCTGCAGCACCCCCGTGGTCGTCTGCTGCCGCCGCACCTGCTGCAACTCCTGTGGCTGTGGCTCCTGTGGCTGCGGCTCCTGTGGCTGTGGCTGTGGGAAGGGCTGCTGCCAGCAGAAGTGCTGCTGTCAGCAAAAGTGCGGCTGCAAGAGGCAGTGCTGCTGCTAGGGGCCACACGGCTCTGTCCCTGGGTAGGTGCAGCATGAGACTCCTGTAGGTAAGTTTCCCTGTCTGCTCCTCTGCTTGCAGGTCACGAGCATGACCTGAGCCTGTCATCAGCCCATGGGAATCTCACATTTCTGCAGTCTTCCTGGTCCTGCTGCTGCTTACTAATCACCAAGTAACGTACTAACTGAAGCCTTCTCTGTCCTTTACCAACTATCTTGACAACATGCTGTCAAGAGAGTTCATGTGACACTTTCTTCAAATGCCCCTTTCTCTTTACTTCCTGTTTTTACCATTTTTCTGGCATACCTATATTCATAACAACTGTTATCTTAATAAATTACACCAACCAACCTCAAGGAGCAATCTCATTTTTTTCTAGTCTCTAATGTGTCCATGGGAAAAAGTGAATTCTTTCATAACAGGTAAAGCCAATACTATATGTACAAAGTCAACAAAGAATTGAAAATTAAATAAATTGCAGAAGGCATAGATAGGGCGGTAGATGATGAACACATTGTGAGTTTAGTAAGGAAGGAGCGTGGAGCACATCCTCAACCCTGGCCCAAAATGTTTGCCTGACCTCTCCCTTTATGGAATCTTTCCAAACAAAGAAATATTTGATCAGTCCCCAAATGGCCAGAAGATCATGTAGGAGCATGAGTCCTTTTCCTTGAGTTCTTGTGTACTACATGTTGATCTTGGTGGTCATGACTTCATGGCTGACATTATTCCAAAAAATCTGGTCTTGGGTCATGCCACATTTCTTGTTCATTCACTCTCTCTAGTCCACGTCGTGCTTTCTTCCAGCCTCTGTCCTCTTGTCTATTGTGCAGACAACACAGTTAGACACTCACCATGCTGAGTACCAAGGAACCTCACATGATGTGAGTTTGTTGTGAGGTGAGTCTAACATTAGAATCAAAACAGCCCAACTTGAGGGCATCTAGATGCACAAAGAAATTTGTCTTCAAATACCCCTTCTACTAACGTCCCACAGGGCTCCCCGAACCCTTCCTGTGTAGATTCCAGGACACCATCGTTTATTTTACAGCAAAACGAGAGTGAAAGGAGGTGTGGGACGGGGATCCTAGTGGAGCTCTGAAGTAAGGCTGAGGCCAGGGGAAGCAGAGTTTCTTGGACCTGACCCCAGGAAACACAATTACACCAACCTCCAAGGGTCCACTTGGGGTGTCTTTGTGCCTCCAAGCAGACTCGCACAGGACAGGAGCTTATCCAGACAGAACTGACCCAAAGGAAGGACATTAACAAGGGAAGGACTGGTGGGTGTGTAGACTGGTGCAACCACTGGAAATCAGCATGGAGATTCCTTTAAAAATACCAGGATTAGAGGTACCATTCGACCCAGCTGTTCCCCTTCTGGGTATCTACCCAGAAGAATTGACAACATCATACCACAGAGATATATGTGCACACATGTTTATCACAACACAATTTTTTTTTAACTACCTGGAATCGAATGCAGGACCTTGCATTTGCAGCCTGGCTCTTACGCTGCTGAGCTATATTCCCAGCTACAGCAGCACAATTTGTAACAGCAAATCTTGAAAAAAGCCCAAATGCCCATCAACTGATGAATGGATACAAAAGATGTGACTTCTTTTATACAATGGAGTATTACTCAGCCTTAAATAAGGATAAATGAGCCATTTATAGTTAAATGGAAGGTCTTTAGATCATTCTCTTAAATAAAATAAATCATACAGATGTGTAAATATTGCATTGTCTCTCTGGTGTGAGAAAATTAAAGTGTAAATAAGAACCAAAATGTATAACAGGAGGCTGGGGATTTAGCTCAGCGGCTTAAGCACCTGCTTGACATGTGCAAGGTCATGAATTTAATCCCTGGTACCAAAACTGTGTCAATAGGAAGACAGTGTTCAAATGGAAAAGGAAATGGGGGAAGGTAGGGGCAAAAAAAAAAAAGATGTGAAAAGAAGGATAAAATGGAAACAAAGCTTTGTAAAGAAGGAGGGGAAATAGAATGGGAAAAAAGAGGACTCAAGATATATCATATACAGGTACAAATTTCCCATGATTAATATGATCACTATGCATATCTCAATGGTACCAATTAACTAATAATAACAATAATTAATATGGGAAGGAAATAATCCTGTACATCAAAGAATACATGAGACCCAGTCCTGTTCTGAGTGAGCGCAGGCTGTGGACATCTCTAGGCGCTGGGCTGTCTGGTGCTGGCTGCTTGCTACTGGACAGGAAAGTGCTCAGATAGGAAGACAGGAAGCATCAGCGCACAAGAGTCTGGAACCCAGAACGCAGGAGCAGAGTCCCAGGCCAAGCAGACAAGTCCCAGGAAAACCAGAGGACGGGGCAGCAGGTGATGAGGTTGGAGGAAATCTTGCAGTGTCTCTTTCCCAAGAGCAGAGCCCAGGGGCCAACTAGCAGCAGTGCCAAGGAGCAGATGAGGCTTGGAGAGGACATCTGGGCACAACGCCTGACACACGGCAACCTGGCCTCTCCTTGGAAATTTTTTTAGCTACTGTAAAAGAAGTCTTCTAACCAGCTTTGAGGATGAACCGTGAGCTTTTCAAAACAAGAAGACCATGCAGAGCTTCAGCAGCAAAACAAATCCTGCCTGCACTCACCTGTCATCAGAGCTTCATCTCTGACACTGTTTTCCAGACTTTGGAATATAACAATTCTCTTTACATCTTCTGTGGTTTTTCTCCTTTCAGAGTAGAAAGAGTACATTTAAATGGCTTAAAGATTATACTGGAAAGTACACATGACACAGCATTTCATCCATGTCTGCAGCTGGTGTACATTTCCTCCCAACTCAGTGACCTCAGAGACTTGTCTGTCTTTACGGGCCAAAAGACTTCTGCTATGATGTTTCTTAATCATTCTCCACCATAGAAACATAGGGGAAAGCAAGATACTCGACTTAATGAACAGTCCTTGAATGTTCTTTATCTGAAGAGGAAACGGCTTTGCGGGCACTGTGAGAAACACCATCTAGCAGAATGAGTGGGGAGCCACGCAGCAGGGTAGGAGAGCTAGAATCAGGCAGACAGAGCCTTCGATTTATCTGTGCATTCATGGCCTACTTACGGAAAGGAAAAGGCTTTGGATGCGAAAGGGCTTTACTGAACTAAGGCAGGTTCTTTATTATATTTTCATTGGTTTTCCTCTGCACTACACTGTGGCTGACACATATCCAGGTTAAAGTATATTGGAGAGTCTTGTCTTAGACACTGTGTCCTCACTAGGACAAAATACCAGACACTTGCCACTGGAAGGAGGAGAGGTCTATTTCAGCTCACAGCTTTGGAACTCTCAGTCCAAACTGGTAGCATTTAAGCTCAAGCTGAGACGGTTGTTCCTAACATATTATTTAAGTGTAATTAGTAGAAAGGATGAAAATTTGTGGCTACCCATGCAAATTTCAAATTTCCCCACTTAGTTTAATAAACGAGTCTGTATTAAGCCTTCTGCCTCTGTATTTGCCATTGCTCACTCTTCTAGGCCAATCAATCCTCCACACAAGGAGGTTACAGCGTACACTTGTCTGTCCAGTTCTCCTGCTCAAAGTGCATTTACTAGAAGTGCTGAGCGGCAATCAGAGATTTGCTTTACTGGGTTCCCCTCCCTGCAAGCCACCTTCCCAAGTATTCATGCAGATAATGAGCCAGGCAGATAATGATCACCTGGACAGCGTGCACACTGCTGCCTGCGGGCTCTGCTTCAGATCACACTGTGAATGCGTTAATCACAAACACATTGCGTGTTCTCACTAAAGAAAACTGAATTACTCGTTTTTATCTTGAATATTGCAATTGTGATTTTTCTATATCTTTGTGAGTTAACACAGGAAAAAACACTTCAATTTAAAAAAAAAGAAAAAGAGTACTTTGTTTCTCTGTTCCTCTCTTAGGGGAAAATAGAAAAATTCTGTACAGTGATATGCTGCCCTAGAGGACAAATGTGGTGGATTTCCCAGGAGGATGCATGTTAGGAACATTTCACAGAGTTAAACCAAGAAAGGACAGAGAGGAAATGCGTCAGGACTCAGAGTGCCCACAGATCACCATAGGTCCTAGACGACAATATTTTTTTTTTTAATTTTATTTAAGGAGAAAAGAAAAAAAAGCAGAGAAAGGGTACAAGTTATACAGATTTACAGGAAAAAAAAGTGAACAGTAGGAAATCACTAGTTAATGGATTACATATTGTCATCTTAGAAATAATTGTTCAAGTCACAAAATTAAAGCTTGTAAAGTGGACATTCCATCAATGATACTTCAAACAGTTCTGTTCAATGATCCAATAAAACTCTGTGATATCATTTTCTATCTTATACACTTAAATATACATGCAGTTATATAGTTTAGAGCACTTCCTTTTCCTCTCTTTTGTACCATGACTATTACACATTTTGGGTTTCATTGCTCCCACGGTTCTTATTACTTTTTTGGAAGAGAGTAAAACCAAATGTGACATAACAGAACAAAATCGGTCAAGTCAAAAGGGTGGACATAATAGATAATGTAAAAACATAATACAAGGTGATCAACAATGGTTACCATAATGCCTCCCGCTATCTCTAATAGAATTGCCCATATCGTTAGTTATAATACAATTGAACAAAACAGTGAAGAATAAAACCGACAAAACCAAAACATTGGAGACATTGTAGGTCTTCAAAAGTAGATAAAAGTCAACGAGAATGGGCGTCATAATGAATCTCATTCTCTTCACAGCTGATGCCTAAACTTTCGAACCTGATACTATCCAGCAAAACAGAATAGGGGAACATCAGTAAAAAACCAGATGATGAGAGTAATACAGGGCTTTAAATCGAGGTAATGGAAAGTCAAAGTGGGTTACTATAATATATCCTGCTATTTTTTTCCTTTAATTAAAAGGATAAAGATAAAAAAGTAAATAATGGAGTGGAGATTGAGATAAAAGAGGGCATAACAACAAAACAGCGCAGATCAAAACATAACCATTTAAGCAGAATAGTTATGTACGATAGTATAAGCAAAAACCTTTTAAAGACAAAGAGATTATACAGAAACCATTGTTCATTTTCTGTTAGTCGATTCTAAATACTCTGTAATGCTGTCATTCTCTTAAATGGTTTTACATTGTTTTGATATACTTAATGCTACAGTATACGAAGTTGTACTCAAGGATTTCAAGGAAAGAGACAATATGGTAACTACTTTTAGATTAGAATTATCTGGTGGTGAGACGACAATATTTAAACCTAACAATGACACCTTCCCTTGTCAAAGAGTGTAAAAAGCCCCGTAATTAATTAGCCAATGTACCAAACTAGGCTCCTACATAGATACCACTGA